ATAGTGGCATTTGACGTGTTGTAAGACGTATCTATTTCTGTTGAAGGGTATGCATCCAAATATAATACCACTTGTGCATGCCTAGTAAAAGTATCAAAAAAAAAAAAATGATTTTGAGCATTTCGACCATTTCGAATATCTGAAATGATCTATTTCGACTTCATGTATAACACCAATAGCACCTAATATTGAAGGTGGTATTCCTGCTATTACTATTGCTTCTGGTATTAAGCTTAGTCAACTCCTTTACCAGTTTAGAACAGTTTATATAATAGTTGAGCATTTAAAATAAATAGCAGTTTTTGGTTAACTTATGCAGAGTGATATGACAATTAAGCAATTTTTCGCTAGAATTAAAAAGATTGGTAAACTAGCTGAAATTATTCCTGAACAGCAAAGAGGAATGAAATCCAAAAGAGATAATAAGTGTATTTACAAATTCATTTGGATTGGATTAAAGATGGATACCATAATTAAGAAGTTGCAACTCGGTAAGTTGTAACTTGAATTGCAACTTAGTTGCAACTCCTTGTAAATTTATTTTAATATAAAAATTCATAAATAGTTGCACTCAAAGTGTTGCAACTTAAGTTGCAACTAGTTAAAAATTTTAAAAATAATTATGGGAACTATCTTTAGATTGAATTGAGTCGACGTCTTAATCTAATCCAAATTCACAAATTAAAAATCTGATTTGGATTAGATCAAGTTGATCCAATTGATTGGATTGGATTGGATTTTACTATTAAATTTCCAATCTAGGGTAAAACTACAATTAACAATATTATGCTTATACTCTATTACCATGATCACTACTGTTATAATAATTACCTAACCATATGTTGATATTAAAGATAATTCCCATAATTATTTTTAAAATTTTTAACTAATTGCAACTTAAGTTGCAACACTTTGAGTTGCAACTATTTATGAATTTTTATATTAAAATAAATTTACAAGTTGCAACTCAAGTTGCAACTTTTTAATTATGGTATCCATCTTTAGTTGACATCGCATTAAAGTTATCAATTAAGAAAATGAATTTGTATTATAGTAATCTTTTAATACCTTGCGAGCTTGATCTAGCGACAAACTTGAATTGGTTCAAAAAAGTATTTATTTTTTTTGTATAAGATTGACTTGAAGAAATTTGTTAAAAATATTCTAATTGGATTATTGAATTTATATCACTTAACGTTAATGAACTTCTTGGTATAAATACTGAGTTTTTCATCAAAATTCTAAAATCCTGGTATCTTCTTTTTTATATAATAATATACATAATGAAATATAAATAAAATATGAAGTAGTATAATCCTTTCCTACCTTTTTATTAGGATAAGAATCTCTTAATGTAAAAGTATATCTGCTTAGATGTCAGTTAAACAGTTAAAAAAAATTACAATTTTACTGCAGACTTTCTAATTATCTAATAGTCGATAAAATAAGTATATTATTACTATATTATCTCGCTGAATATGCTTCTAAGATCAATATGGTTAGCATTATGTTCAATTTCATTTTTTTTAAAAATTTTTTAATCTTATCATTATCTTTTGTTGCAGTTTAACAATAAAAAATGGAAGAAACTTATAACGAAAAAGAAACCTCTATTAAACCAGACAAAAATAATAAAAAAAAAGTTCAGTGGAGTGAAGATTCTATTAAAATGTTATTTTCATTTTTAATAGAATGGAAAGTTGAAGTAAATCAACTAAGTACGAAGTAAGGTGATAGTATTAATACAAAAGCGAAACTTTAGCAAGACGCGTCTGCTATATTTTTTAATAATAATTACCAATACTCCACTAAACAATGCTCAGTTAAATGGAAAAATATTAAAAAAATTATAAGGTATAGTGAACTCTTGATATAACAAATTCTAGGATCTGGATATTAACTTCGTTATAAGCTTATAATGAATTTTTTAAAGAA